TTTGAGTCACCTAATGGTTCTGATAATTTAAATAAAAATAAAATATTACAGGGTAAAGTAGACATTTCACCTCTTTTAAGGCTCTATTTGGCTTCAAAATATGATAGGGGGTGTCATTGTTTGAAAATAAGCCAACTATCATCTAGTTGTCAATACAGCAAACCTCGGGGGTATGAGTGTAATTAACCCTTTTTTTATATCTATAAAATTTTCCATCATTTTTGTTTTTTTTTTTTTTTTTGGGGGGGTGGGGGTGACAATTGCAAAGATATACATAATTAAAAAATAATAATGCAACAAAATAATCCCAAGAAACCACTAAAGGGCAGTGTGAGTTTCTTCACAAGGTTAAAAAAAAAAAAAAAAATCACCTAAGAACAATTCCTAAATTATTTTTTTTTATATATTAAAAACCGTGAAATTCAAATAGTGATTCTGGATTAGGAGAAATATGTCTGGAAATGAAACACAAAAGGTCTATGAAGAGATGGAACTCTTGACTTACTATTAAATGAAACTGGTGTAATATCCAAATCCTTAAGATGCACAACCTTTGAAAAAAGGGGGAAGGGACTAGAGCTTGGTTTCATCAAAATTAATATTAAATGTTGCCGAAGTAATTCACGACCCAGGTGTCCAAGTGATATTAGTATTGGCCTATTTGAAGGGTGATCTCTTCAGGCAAAATAAGTATAACACACCAAACCACATATATGGATCAATTCCGAAAGTTAGTGCTCCATGACCAAGTTAAACCATAGCATTCAATTTCTCATTTTAATTCGGTTGGGTAGGACGATAACGCTTTTCAAGGAAAAAAATGAGTTGATCATAGTTTATGGCATCAAATTATAATGCCAATTTCACAATGGAAATATTAATAGAATATATCTAGCGGACTTCTTACCCTATACTCTCTTGCGTTCCATCAAAACTCTCCAACTAATTTTAATGGACACTCATCCCAATATGGAATTATTTTATTTTATTTTTAAATGTTTCAATAAGTTAAGTTCATTCAAAGAGCACTCATGTGGGGAGTGCAACCCATATACGAAAGCCACAAAACACAAAAAGAAAACTCTATAATCCCCAGTAGATCTATAATAAAACCATTTTTTTTTTTTTTTGATAAGTATAATAAAACCATTAACCCAAAACAATAAGGTACTAAAAATGAAGAATTTAAACGCCAAAAAGAGGAAATATGAGATAAAATAAAAACAGCAGGAGAGGAGCGATGCAATGTTTATATTTGTTACATTGTTTAATGCACTAGTTATGACCCTTGCTCACAAGTGCCCGTGAGCCCTTCTTTTTGTGCTTTAAGAGATTAGGTTGGTTTACACTGGTTGTAGCCAAGTGAGATCATTTTTTCCTAGAGTTATTGCCGTTAAGGGTCGTGACTTCTCTGCATTACACAGCTCAGAGTTTCAGAATCCTTAGAGAAGATTCACAAGCTTATAAAGTTTTGGTCCAGCGATCAACTTTGTGAGAACAAGGCCGTTGGTGCGCATGGAGGCTTAAGCATGGTGGATTTTATGGACTCATCCAGTGGATCCAAGACATCTAGAAGGATATTGTTTCTAAAGGTAAAGAAGTGGATGATCCTTCTAATTTTGCTGTCACAACTTCATATAATGGGAGTGAAATTCATGAAGTTGCAGGTTTGAATAAAAATTCAACTAAAAACTGGAGAAAAGAGTTGGTCACTAGTGTTTTCAATAGAATACATGTTGATTTAATCCTCCAACTCTCTATTAGAGAATGGTGGCTCAGATTCTAAGCACTGGAGACTTACATAAAAAGGAATGGTCAGTGTTAAAAGTGTTTATAGGCTATCTATGCAATTGACGGAAAGGTATGACCCAACTTCAAGGCGTGCTTATAGTAGTCATCAACAGGAGTTTTCACCATTGTGGATAAGAATCAGGAAAATTAAAAGCATATAGTTGGAAAGACCAACATTATATTTGATCACAGAGTATACAATATATTAGGCTTTAAATACGTACTAAACCTATATAAGCCTTATACAAGCTTTTTCACAAGCTTAACGAGCTGAGCTCAGCATTATTCACTCTCAGCTCCTTTATTACAATGATGAACAAAAAAGGAGAGAGAGGGTCACCCTGCCTCAAACCCCGCTTAACTGCTGAAAAACCCATTGAAGAATCGATCATGAGGACCGAGAATCTCACTGAAAAAATTCAAAACTCGATCCACTTCGTCCATCTTCCACAAACCCCATCCTTTCCAGCAGAAAAAGAAGGATACTCCAACCAATCGATTTGGGATTTGCTTTTTGATATGTTGATTTATGAAGTTCCAAAATTTCACTTAAAGCCCATTATATTGTATATTAGTATGATTTAGTACATATTTAAAGCCCATTTACTCCAATTACTATGGAATTTGGGAAAGAAATCCCAGCCCACACTAATACACCTACGCCTACTGATTCCCTATCTTGCATATGAAGCTCCAAAAATGTATTCAATCTAGGATTATTTACTTACTGAACGAACACGAGCCAACATGGTCTGAAAACAAACCACAACACATCAAAGATGCCCCATGTGAGCTTTGTTCGCCTCATGAAACACAATCGTATCATCGACAAAGAGGAGATTTGAGAAATCTCCATATAACTAGAAGGACCTCTATCCACCCTGAAGCCACTACTATATCCCACAGCCACGGCCTGCCTCATCAGTATGTTGAATGCCTCCATCACAAAAAATGAACAACAAAGGGGATATAGGATGTCCTACCTTGGACTCCTTGAGATACCGAAGAAACTAGAAGGTGCCCAATTCACCAACATTGAGAATCATACCGTAGAGATGCAAAATCTGATCCACGTCATCCATTTCCCGCAAAACCCATCCTCTCTAGAATGTATAGCAAAAAGCCCCAAGTTAACATAGTAGTAAGACTTCTCTATGTCAAGCTTATTAGACACACCCGATACCCCACTACTCAGTCTAGACTCAAATCAACACATTCGCTGGTTATCAAAATCGAATCTAGAATTTGTTGTTGCCTACCAACAAAGGTATTTTGTACTTTCGAGATCACTCCATCCATGGCTTCCTTCAATCTCAAAGCAAGGATTTCACCTATTATTTCAGCTATTAGTTTGAATAGACTGCCCACCAAACTAATACATCTAAGATCCTAGACTTCTACAGCTCCTTTTCTTCTGGATGAGACCTAAACAAGTGGCATTCAAAGATATCTAGAAACTACCACATCTATAGAAGAAATTGATTCTGACCACCTCCCAATCACACCCTTACCCTGAAAGGCACTACTGAGGACTGAAGCTCACGAACTCCTATTGTATTCCAAACATTCAGATCATATGGGATACACTCGTGAATTTGCTCCACGTCAAATAAAAACATGACAAAGTATTTAGGACATGTACGTTTAGATCATTTGCAATTTTTTCGTGAAATCTCAAAGTTTATAGATGAACATGAGAAGCACTTGACCATTGCTTTAAAGACCTTAAAAGAACACAAGCAATGCACGAACTAGCCATCATGCATGGTTCTCCACTTAGCTTGACTTGACCACGAGTTCAACAACAAAATCTCCAAAATCAACAATGACATTGCCAGAGTAACATTATAATTCCATGTCTTAACCTCGAAAGACATTAAGTGAAGTGAAAGTTGCCACGTCGAATCACCAAAATAATCTTCCTTTACTTTTCGGGCACATAAGTGCTACTTTGTAGAAAATTAGGTGGATTAAATCCAAATTATGAAGGCATTGTAATTAAAAAAATTCAATAGAATAGTAGAAATTTTAGTTGGTATTGTCATAATGTTGATTGTAAAGCATTCATTGTGATGAAATGGCACCAATTAATGCATGAAAAGCAGGAGATGATTGAAAGGGACATACCTTGGACCTAAAATGAATTGTTAGCAGCGTAACACACACCAATAGGCACGGACCTGCCTGGGGACTACGGGGGGCGAATGCCCCCTCTGGAATTTTTTTTTCTTATTATATAGTAGACTTTTTTTAAAAATATATGCCATGCCCCCCCTAAAATTTCACAAATACCCCCACTATATAAGTCCCCAAAATATATACCATGCCCCTGTATTTGCTCAATGATTCCCAAAATAAATACCCCCTTGAACGTGCTCAATGATTCAATGAACAAAAAAAATATTTTTGCTTATTATGATGATTTGAATTGTAAATGTGTTCAATGGGATCCTTTTGTTGTTTTTGGGACGCGTTCCCCTTTTGAACACCTTTAATGAATTTGCTTAATTATCCAAAAAAAAAATTTGTTATTAAAAGGACGCCCCCCGACATAATTTCCTGGGTCCGTCACTGTACACCACCAACATTTCAGTGTGATGTCAAACACAAAAGTCATGGTACTCTTGCCTACCACTATATGGGGAATACTCACTCATGGAGTCACAAATAAAGTGTAAGCACTTAGAGATGGAGATACGACATCTAAGATAGTGGAGATTCAAGTAGATTAGGCCAGATTGGACACCAAGACAGCCTTATAAGAGAGAGAGTGGCAACAACCATGACAAACAACAAACCCTCGGAAACCCAAGGCCACTTGTTACAATTCTCACACGCTTATCTTCTGTGTCTCGAGTTAAGAGTAGGTAGAAGCCAACGCAAATTTTCCAAGGGAAAGAGATATGTAGAGGAGGAATTTGAGGATGGCAGGTACATTTGTTGGTGATAAAAATCATAAGCCCACAAGATAATGGTGTGTGGTGAATTTGTAATAGAGATACTGTAAAGAAATTTACATCTTGTCTCTCATTATAGTGCTCTAGGGTTGACAAAAAGAGAGACCTCAAGGTATCCCAAGTCTCACTAAACAACAAAACCCTAGAAGTCCAAGTGAACTACAACCCAACCCAACCCAAACATAAAGATCCATGAGTGAGAATGCATGAGACAATCTTTTAAGCAGTGCAATGAAAAGTGAAGATGCTCCAGAGAAACAACACATCACAAAGACATAGTATTGGAATTTATAGACCATTATGAAGAGCACACGTCAAGGTGAGATATTTAACTATCCACCTGATACAAGGTGAGACCAATAGATAAAGAGAAAAGAATCTATTGAAGTTTCAAGGGAAGAAGACAAACCGTTTTTGGAGATATTTCACGAGTTGATTTCTCCTGTAATTGAAACAAACAAACAAATTAAGACATTATACCAAATAATACAATTCTTCCAACACAACTCTTAGATATAGCCATATACAAAATTTTGAACATCATTTTTTTTTTGATAAGTAAAAATAATATTAAAAAAGGCGTTCAAAAGGAGAACGCGTACCAATTACGAAAGTGGAACCGGAGTTAAGGCCCCAAAGAATCCAGAAAAGTAATTAAATCATATGAAGAAGAACAAAAGCTCCTCTTCACATAATTGAAGAGAGAACGAAGAATGTAAAGTTTGACCGTTTCCGTAGGCGACTCTTTTCCTTCAAACATTCTGCTGTGTCTCTCCTTCAAAATGCACCACCATACGCAATGTGGTACAATTCTCCAGAACTCGCGAACGTCTCTTCTCACTCGACAACCTCTCCAAATACGAATCAATTCCTTAGTAGATCGTGGCATAACCCAACACATGCCAAACAACCCAACAATAAGATTCCAACAGTCAATCGCCATAGGGCAATACAAAAGGAGGTGGTTAACAGACTCCTCGCCATCCTTGCATAGACAACAACGATTAACTATACAATTGCCCCTTTTTCTCAAATTATCAATTGTCAGAATCTTTCCCCACACAGCAGTCCAAATAAAGAAAGCCACCCTAGTTGGAGCCATAGACCGCCAAATAGTTTTCCACGGGAAGTCTCGATTAACAAAATTTGACAAACATAAGAACAAAGATCTAACTTCGAAACGACCATGAGAAGAGGGAACCCAACTTAAAACATCATTACCTCTGCCAATGCCCTCCTGTCGATATAGAAGATCCAAAAAAACACATACCTCATCCATCTCCCAATCCTGAAAAGAGTGCCGAAAATACACATCCCATATAATCCCGCTGCTATCGAGCCGATAGCAGTCGACTATGTAGGCGTGTTTATTAACGGCAATACTATATAATCTTGGAAAAGTACGAGAAAGTGACTGATCCCCACACTAGAGATCTTCCCAAAACCGAATGCAACATCCGTCATGGAGTTTGAATCTGATATGAGCCGAAAAAACATCCCATCCTTTCCGAATAGCCTTCCACATCCCTACTCCTCCCGCTAGGGTAACCAGACGCGTAGACCAACCTCTAGCCTCTTCGCCAAACTGATAAGAGACTAGCCTGCGCCATGGTCGATGTCTTTCCCTCCCAAATCTCCATAACCACTTACCCAAGAGAGCTTGATTGAAAGGAACTAAACGTCTTATACCAAGTTCACCCAATTTCACAGGCTTACAAACATCCTCCCATTTGACAAGGTAGTACTTGAACTCATCGCCTTTACCACCCCTTTGAATTTTTTCAATCCTGTCTGCAATGGAACAAGGGATTTGGAACATAGAGAGAAAATAAGTGGGAAGGCTCGACAAGGTGCTCTTTATAAGAGTAACTTTACCCCCTTTTGACAAGTATTGTTTCTTCCAACCTGCTAATCTCTTCGCGTACCTGTCAATCACAGAATCCCAACTCCCCACTAAACTAGAAGAGACCCCTAGGGACAAACCCAAATAAGGAATAGGGAATGAACTCACTCTGCATCCAAGGACTGCAGCTAAAGAGAAACATCCGGAACATTCCCTACTGGGACAAGCACACTCTTTGTCACATTGACCTTTAGCCCAGAAACTGCCTGAAAACAAGTTAGAACACACCTCAAGTGGCGAAGTTGAGACACATCAGCATCACAGAAAACCAGGGTGTCATCTACAAAGAGTAAATGGGAAATCTCCATCTGATGGTCTAAATCTCTACCCACTCTGAAACCCTTAACAAAACCAAGGTCCTCTGCCCTATGCATCAGTCTACTTAACCCCTCCATAACAACAAGAAAAAGGAAAGATGACAAAGAATCACCTTGTCTTATACCTCTAGAGCAACCAAAGAAACCGGCGGAAGAGCCATTCACAAGAACTGCAAACTTGACAGACGAAAGACAAGTCTCAATCCATTTCCTCCATTTACTTCCAAACCCCATTCTTTGTAACAAATAGAGTACAAATATTAATACAAGCTGCAACAATGATGCATTAGTGAAAACTCTACAGAACTGACACTTAAATCATCCAAAGGCTTTTTTGAGAAATAAATAAAGATGCAAAAGCTTCATTTAGCATAAAGAGTAATGACTAGTCAATTGAGATCTGAACATCAGAGTGAAACATACTCATGAGCAATCAGAGCGCCGATACCCATCAGAGTAACTACAGACACCGGAAAGATAGCTGATATAGGAAAACAAAATTATTTGCATATATTGGTGAAAATTGAGACACAATTAATTAAAAGAGGGAATGTAAGGTGGAGAGAGAATTACAAATTTTAGCAAGCAACGGCAGTTTAGAGAACTGTTTATGCATCTTGACGATGTCCATCTGAAAGAAACATTTTATTTATACAAATGAAATAACAAGAGAGAGACTTTTATCATCAAAATTCAAAAATAAAAGGCCAATTATTTGTTAAGACAAAAGCAGGGGGTATTTTATTAAATCGATAAATGAAAGAAGTAAACAAATTTTAAAAAAAAAAAAAAAAAAAAAAAATCACTTTGAAAACCAATGCTTCTGAAAACCCTAGCACGGAACAGAATAATAGCTTGAAATTTTCCACAATAATGTAAAAAGTTTAGTAAAAATCAACACATAGAAGGAGAAGAAGAGGCGTCGTACCAGTAACGAAACCCTCCGACTTCGCTTCGCCTTGCTTGCCTTCGCTTCTCTTCCCTTCTCTTCGTCCTTTTTCTGATAATAAAATTCTCGGTATTTCTCTTTGTGGGTGGAGAATTGCTGGATTGGAAATTATTGTCTTGGGCTCCTCACCCACCCAACTCTTTTTCATATTATTGTACTGGCCTGGCCCAATCTTTTCTTCCTCTGTCATTTCATCCTTTATTGTGGGTCTTATCCCAGTAGTCCACATTTGTATCATCTAACCCAATCCTCAAAAGTCCAAAATGTAAAGCCTAGAATTAAAATCTATATAAGGGAAAAAAACAACTGTTTTTTTTTCTTTTTTTTTTTTGGCATACCTATATATATCTTTAATAATCTACTAAACCCATTGCCCTACCTGGATTAGTCAATCAATTTTAAAACAAACTCCAAATACACTAAAGAACGTATTGATTATATTATTAAATTACTAATTTACCCTTGACATGTTATATTATTTGCCAAACTAGCTTAAAAACTCTAGCCCCTCTTGATTTCACTTTTTTAGTACTCGGTCACTCGTCGTTTGCGTATTGCGACTACGCAGACGACTTTTACTCTAGCCCATCTCCGAGACCACCTCTAGAGATTTTCTCATCTATATCACTCTTTGTCTGGAGATTTTGTTGTTTCGCCTTTTCATGTAGAGATCATGAAATCGGTGGCTTAGACTTAGGAGATCGGTACCTTTCCTAAACTCTAATTATATTTCTTATCTGATACATCATTTGTTCAACCTACCTGTGACTAATTTCTAAACACAGGTTGATCAAATCCACGCACAAAACTAAGGATTATCAAAATAACTAAAGTATTTCAAATAAGCATAGATTGCAAAAATAAAATAAAAAAAATAACTCGCTGAAAAAACTAATAAATAATAACTTTATTGATACTTCTCCAAAATGACAACTCGGGAATCCCGTAATGCAAGGACCCGTAAAAACATTATCCAATAATCCAGTCAAATATAAATAAAATAAGTCTATCATCCTACTTTGGAATAAATTGAAAGAGTAAATAAGTCTTCCAGCTGCAGATCCTCAACCTTGATGCTTTGTTCAATAGGAAGGAAGAAAGAGGAGTGGAAAGAAAATAGGAGAGAAGGAACAAAATTCTTTCGTTCGGTAGGAAAGAGACATGGAGGGAAATGATAATAGGAGGGATGTCTTATCCCTCCTTTTTTACAAATTTTCATCCGCCCAAATTTGAGCTGAAGACAGGAGAGAAAATAAGTGGAGCTATTATAAAACTATTAAATTACAATATCATCCTTTCCAAATATAAAAAAGTAAACCCTACACATTTCATCTCACGCAAAAAATAAAAATTAAAAAAAAAAAAAAAAACCTATCAAGTTATGATTCATGTGTTATATATATATATATATATATATATATATATATATATATATATACCTTTTCCTTTATCTTACCTTGAACTTGTATATATATACATATGGATTGTTTGTTATATAATTTCCTTATTAGTAAAAAAGAGAATTCAGAAGAAAAAATGCACAGTCTACATAAAGAACCATACAATGGCATAAAGCAGTTTTTTAGAACATATCTAGAACAAAAAAAAAAACTCCATGTTCACACCTAGTTCGAAAAACAGTAGTTACTTCACTAGAAATTAATGGTACAGTTTAAATGAGTAATAAAGATGATGGCTATTTACCCCGGAAAAAAAATAATGAAAGGTATAATGATAAAAATAATTTTAAATTCTCCCTTCCCTTCTCTCGCAACGAACAAAAGAATTTGGTAGGTTCTTCTCTTCTCTTCCATCCAACCGAATAAAACAAAGGAAGTCCATAATCTCTTCCCTAGGGATGTCTCATCTTTCCGTTCTTCTCTCCCTTCCATCCAATTTACTTCCTTCCTAACGGAGCCTAAGACTTGAACCTCTAATAACCTGAAAGATAAAAATAAGTGGGTCAAATCCACGAACCTAGGCCTCTGAAAATCAATAAGCAGATCATCTCTGATCAAAATCAAACCTAATAAAGTTTTTTATCTTTAATATATAATGATACAGATATATATAAATAATTATATATAATACACTAATCCCATCCATTAAATTTCTAAACCCATTAATCAATGATTAAATCTTAATCATACCTAAACCAATTCACAAATTTATTTTCTTTTAAAAAGAAACTCTATAACATTTATTCCATCTTGGACAGTTATGTAATCTTTTAAATAATAAATTACAAATAAAGGAATATTATAATTAATCCAAAACCCAAATATGATTTTAATTATTTAAATCACATATCCAATATTTACGCTTTGACAAATCATCCATGTCTCCACCAATATTATTTTATTAATATATATAAAATAATACACTAACATGTAAGTACTATATTATTCTAATTTAAGAATATCTAATCATAATCCAACTTATACATACAATAACTATAAATGAAATTTTAATCATCTAACACACAACAATTTAATTATGCCTTGGCAAATCAACCATGCCATTATAAATATATTTATTTATATATTGGCAACTCAACCATGCCTCCTAAAGTATATTTATTTATACATTGGCAATTCAATCATGCATCCACAAGTATATTTATTTATACATTGGCAATTCAACCATGCCTCCACAAATATATTTATTTATACATTTAAACTAACAACTCGCTTCCTATGTATGAATTTTATTCATACAAATATTTAGGTTATATATTTAAGCCTTTGGCAACTCATCCATGCCTACAGTTCAACCATGTACCAAATTTAAACTTAACAATAAATCAAATCATACATAGACATCCCATACATATTAAAAACAAAACATTAATTTAATAACCAGCCTATTATGGTTTAATCAACCATACTACCTATAAATCACAATATATCAAATAAGAATAATAATATTAATTATCTTAAATGATATATACATATAGACATATATTATTTAATATATAGAGATATGTACAACACATTCCTTAATAATCCTTGATTATTTAAAATCATATATACATATATATCAACAATTATATGTAGATATACCTCCATCCATACAACTCATAAATAAAATAAACCATATATACACACACACATATATATATAAATAAATAAATAATTATATATATATATATATATATATATATATATATACACACACACACACACACACACACCTCCTTTCATCACCAATATAGTAATTTAATTATATTTACGCAAATTAAATGCTACTAAATATCGTCAAAAATGGTTTTCCATAAATATTACATCTCGGTTTAAATAGTTTTCCGACACCGTCTTACTAAAATGTAAATATCTCTTAATAGGATGGGAATCTAAGAATGAAATTTGTACTATTGGAAAGAGGATGAAAAATTCTTAAATTTGAGCTTAAGAATGACCCAATTTCGATTTAAAATGACTAAGTTATAACTGTTTAAATTTTGAGTAACAAAACAGGCAGAATAATAGGCTGAGCTCAATCCCTACTGTAAGCGCAACCGTACCGAATCATTTCTATGTTGACCAGACCAGATTAGCAGTTTAGATGCACATGCACACCAGCTCTTCATGTGTCGTGATGCGTTGGATCGACTACCCCTTCATCAACCCTTGTCAGCCAATGGATCAGCTTGCGCACTATATTAAGATGGTACGCAAAGCACTGGATCCATCTAACCACCCATCAAGCCCAGAACAGCGCGCACACCATTATGTTATATGCCGCGTCGTACTAGATCAAACTCCCCTTTGACCACCACGTTCCATAAGTTAAAAAAATTCCAAAAATAATTATACAAATATTCTAAATAAATATCTAAAAATTATATAAAAATTCCAGAAAATTATATAAAAATATCAGAAATTTCAGAAACTCTAATTAACCTTCTTGGGTCATAGATCAACCTATAAATTGATTTTAAAATACATATACAACATTTATATACACAATTAAAATCCAATAATCCAAAACTAAAAATATATAATAATTCATATTTTTAAATAACCCGATCTAAACATGATTTAATCAAGTAAATTTAACCTAATGTTTTTGATACTCAAGGTGAAATCCTTATGAGTTCTAAGAGGAAAGTTAGAGAAAAACTCGTTTGAAGGTTTTGATACGAAACCGACGCTTCAAGTCTTGATTGTCTCTTCGAAATCCCAACGTCCTCTTTATCAGATTCGGTCTCCTCCTTGTCAGTAATACCCCTAATTTTAAAAGAACAGTCATGGCATTTAATTTAATTATTTTAGTGCATTTTTACTAAATTATTTGTTTAATTGTTTAATTATTTATTTTTCATTGAATTGTGAATTTGTGACTAGTTTTAAGTATGTGCTTATGTGGCTATTTAAATAAATTGTTTTTTAAATTAACTGTTGTCCGTGTTTTGGTTGCTATTGTATATTAGATGTAGGGTTTTATTTTAGTTAATCAAATGAGGGTTTTAGCCGACTTAGGGTTGGGTTTGTATTAGAATTAGGGTTGTGCTGAAGCCTATAAATACAGTATTATACGTTGGTTTAGGGTTACAAACAAAACCCTATTCACTACAGTGAGACGGAGAGAACTTTGAGAGATTTCCAGAGAGGTTCAAGAATAACTGGACGGAGTGCTTCTGGGTTGAACCAAGAGCACCAGAGGTGTAGGACAGGAGTCTCGGACATGAACGGAAGCTTCAGAGAGGGTGGTTTAGAGTTTCAAAACTGAAACTCAAGGTAAGTCTCTATTTTATTCCTTCCCTCTAATTCGTGTTCTGTGCACGCCTAGTTAGATTCCAGGGATTAATCAAGCATTAAAACAGATTAAATTGAAGTTAATATTAATCTTGTAAGCATGTTTGAATCAACTTTTAAATGGTTGCATAAATCTATTTTTGTGTTGAAAGTTGTTCTCGCTTAAGAATCTGTTTGCATTGGTTTTTAATCTTGCTTAACCTTGGTGTATTTGGGATTGGATGCATACTTATAATTAATTCTAGGATATCAATTGAACCTTGAAATAAA